GTGAGGAAAGACTGAATTGCTTGCTCTATCTACTGTGGAGGAAAGTTCTCTACTTATAGTCCCTAGACTATTGCTTACTAATAATACCAACTCAACAAAGCAGGAGCAAACAGAGCAAATGCATGCAGTTGCGTGACAATCATAGCTTGAGCTGTGCACTGTAGCTATGTGGGTCCAGGCACAACATAAATACTGGTCAAAATTCACAGTTGATAAGATATGCAAACACGCAATCTCACTCTTATCATCTCGGTTTTACTCTGAACCATACATCTAAATACAATTTTCTCCACTCGGATCTTCCTCTCACAACCTCATAAAAGACTTACTGCATTGGTATAACCGCTGACACTGATTCTGCTACAACCTCCATCTTCGCTCAAGCTCATAACTTTAACATGGTGAACGTGCTCAAGGCATAACAGGTCTTCATTTGAGTACACACTAAGGGGAGCCGTTATCCCGTCATTATCTCCCCTCTCCAACCAACAAAACAATGGCCATTTGCGGGTGTGTAGCTGCAGGGAAAAGTCTCAAAAACCACTGTGTGCGAGGCTCTCCTTTGACGAAGAGGCAGGCCAGCAGGGAACAGCAGACCTGTGTATACCTAAGAGCGTCTCAACCTTCCTAGCCTCCTCCATACTCCTTCTCTTATTGAGGGCGCAGGACAAATCGAAGGTTGTGATAGTATATCAGAAAAGTCTTGGCCGAGAGTGACTGTCCTGAAGGAGCCTAGCCTAGTATCCAAAAGTTGTTACAAAAGTGGGGTTGTCAAGTAACTCATGTATTTCAGATGCCCTCCTGGCCAGTAGATTCGGAGGTATAGATTAGTAGGGACAATACTATGGACGAGTCGAAATCTGCTTTTCTTGATGACAGAAGGGTCTTTTACTTTGCTTTTGTGGGCTTTTTGTTTGCCCGCCGGTAGGTGGCATATGTTGTGATATAACGAGGGCTTCTCTGACTACTGTTGTAGCGTTTGGTAATGCATTTTCTTTCCTCATTCCCTGCATCATTATCATTGTCTTGATTGTCTTATTATGACGGCTTGTAGACCGATAATTGCCTGTAGCCTACGCTGTCCAACGTAGGCTTGGCGTGACACTAGGCGGAGCCTATTCTTGGAAGTAGGGGATTGTAAGTGGCAATAAAAATATTGTACAACTTCCGAGAATAAGGCGCATGAGTGGGATACGAGAACAGATGTTCGGATATACGGGTAAATGGATAGAAAGCCGTGTCATTGGCTGGGATAATAATTGTTGTAATTTATGCGACAGTGGAGTTAAGAGTATACTGCAAACCAGCTATATATTCAGCTGCGTGTGGATACTTGCTCTCGAAATCAGATTCTTTATAATATAAATATATATATGATTTATTGTGTGTATTATAACTACAACTATTGGTGCTTATTTTCTAATTCTTACAATTATCTACACACTTCACAATTACGGAAAGTGTGGAATACTAAGCAAGACACGTGATACAATTACAGATTTATTGCATGACTTTCAACAATAATCATGTATAAAGTAGCTGTTATTACACTCTTCGATCTGTAGTTCACCACAGACTGAAAATAAACTACCTCTGACCATAAGGTTGCTCAAGTGCCTATACTTAGACTGTGACACTTATGTGTTATTGTAAGCATATCTTTGACAGAGGGGGAGATAACTCAGCTCAAAGTTGATAGGGTCTTTCTCATTCTCGGCTCTGCAGACTCTACAGTGAGAGCTGGAGGTTTGTAGGGAACACCACTGACAGGTGTTGAGAATAGTCCCTCAGGCTTGAGCAGAGACAATCAAGAATCACCTAGAGAGAGAGGGAAACTTCTAGCAATGAAGACGGGGCTGTGACGCACGGACCATGTGAAGGTTGCAGGTGCTATATTCCTCACACACAAGAAATATAAGTATAGTTAGATAGCTTTACCATAGTGCCAACTGGCCTAAAAAGACACAATAGTAAATTTGTGTATCTAAGAGCTCTCTCAATATATATGGTAGACTTGTGAGCCAACACAGAGCATCACAGGAATCTTTCAGGGATAAGACGAGGAGTTTCTAGAAGGATCTAGGTCAGTAAGCCGTGATTTCTCATGGATAAACACAGTGGAAGCTAGGATGGTGTCTCATGGGGAGTGCCATTCTAAAATACAACTCGGGGTTAGATTAAGTTCCCAAACAATTAGGATAGGCTCAGGAACATAGGGTAGTTTCATAAGGATTGCATGTTAATACTGTTCGAGACAGAGCTTAGGGCTGTCCTATTATCTAATGTACATATATACCCAGTGTGAAGGAGTATTCTTCTTCATGCAACTTTTTCTGTTAATACTCATTCTAAGAATATGATTCCTCTAGACAGGTAATATAGTAGTACTGTTACAGGAATACTTGGAAGTAGATTTGATAAAGTATAGGGTTAAATTGTTGCATGTATCTTCGTCTCTCCATCTATGCACTTAAAAGAAGTACTGCGACCTCGCACCCACTAATGTATTGCTCCTAGTCGCATCCACACGTTAATATGAAACTACTAATACAGGGTATATAAAATCACCAGACGCCTTACCCTTTTTAACTCATAGGCAAACAATAACCACAACCCTAACTCCATTTTGTTAAATTGTAGGGATGATTATGTTTGACCAACTCTTATAATTTAACACTCATACCTATTGTTCACAAACTTATCTCTTCTCTAAAGAAGACCGCCGTTGTTGTACCATCCTCACCTATTACTTATTTTACCTTTACCTCTTCTGTTGTTGTTATGAATTTGTTAGATTTAATCTGAATGTGGTGATGCAGGGGTTATCTTCTTAATTCAGTTAGGGCTGAGGCAACAGGATTTAGATTTGTTCAGGCTGGACTTTTGGATTTGTTCTTTAGTTTTGACAACTTTTTTGTTTATTCTATAATTTGCTTATTGGGAACTCGATATTTCGATAACATGATAATCTGAACATATGAATTAGTAACCTTTCATAATTCGAGCCTCGATTACCTTCATTTTTACCTCCGCACCTTCGACCTTCGAACCTTCGACCTTTGTAACCTCGAAACTTCGATAATTTGTCTTCGTCGAAATCGACTCGACCTCTGCAGCTTAACAGCTTTGAAAATCTGCCAATGATTAGATTCATAACAGTTGTGACAGCTGGTAAGCCGATTGGTCCCTGTAGCCTATGTTGGTTAACTTAGGCCTGATTCGAGTGGCGTTATTAATGACTACCAATGCGCTAATATGTGACGCCACCCAATACAATACTATTGCGTCGGCATTTGCATGGTATTCACATGGCACCGGACTCGGCAGTGCGGCACTGCACCACATGTTGATTGGCTTACACTGACTGGGAATATACGAGACCGAGCACAATCCCTCCGGACCATAACGCGATAGTGCTGTATTGCAGGCATAGTCAGAACACCATGAGAGTCCCATAGTATAGGAACAGGAGAGGGATTAGCCTCAGTGGCGAGGAGGCTTTCACGTATATAAATGAATAGATAGATGTAGTGGAAGTTCTCTCCTTAGAATTATTATTAACTACCATTGACCACATAGTTGCCCCAGCACCTGTCCCTCGAAACAGTGACGTCCGTGCACCTTATACCTAACGCTGACTTTATACCTCCTACTAAGAGGAATCACCACCATACTCCACACCTGTAACCTACTTGTACCCAACTCGTACCCTACAGAATATCGATAATACAACACCTTGAGATGATTCCTCCTGGGATGAAGGCTATGGATAGTAGGAAAAGGAATGTATAAATACCTGCCCAGCTCCCTAGATAGCTCACCATTAGTCGAAATATAAACAACCATCTTTTATACAAATGCTCATTGTTTTTACACCTGATCTGTGACAAGGGCCTAGCATCTAGTACTTTTCACGATTGTTTCCGGCTACAGTACACCCGCAAATGGCCCTTGTTTTTTTGGCTGCATCGGGGAGATAATGGAGGGCAAATGGTTTTACGGAATGTATAAAGGGAATATTAGGATCTGGATGGGTCGGGATCAATAACTGTGTTGTGCGATAAAGGAGTAAATCTAACTATGTACATGGAAGCCACTAAGTTCCAAGTTCGCTAAGCCATTCCTAGGACTTAGTCCCGTGACAACTGGTTCCTCTAAGTGTACAATTGAATGAAGCCTTTTGAGGGGGTTGGAAATGGAGACACCGAGTGTTGTGGACATACGGGCCCTCTATTTCGTCTAGGTTCTCGACACGATCTTATGTGTATTTAAGAGTTTGGAATAGGTGATATGATAGCGCTTCAGGCTACCTATTGGATACATGAGCGGCTGTATGGCGTGGGCGCAAGGAGGTTATTGGGAGTTTTCTATGCCTAGATGGCGCCACACTCGTTTATGCTGTGGCTTAGGCTATGTGGGGTTCACACTTGTACTTGTAGCGCACATTTCCCACACACTTAGCTGTACTCCGATCATGACTCTCTTTTAGTCAACTTCTGCTTTCGTTCCATAAATATGGCGCCCATTTCATTGCGCGATATTTCCAACTTAAGGCTGAACTCTTCTGGTCATTCATCACAATTACGAAGCAACCATGTTATTTCAAGACAAAGTCGATTAGAGCATTGTGCAGGATATGGGCTGGTTGAGGTAGGCGCCCAATGTTCTCGATAATCATGGACTCCAGCGGCATAGTAAGCACTAAACCTTCGCAAAAAGGTAGTGATGACTCCAATCACGACTACAACAGCTTTGAGTCAAACTAGTGCATCATCTGAATTTACAACCAATCTCTAAAGACGATATTCTTCCCATAAATCTCCTTCACCAACTTCTCTTGATTTGATGATGTCTCGCCATGACCCAGAATCTCCGTCACAACTCCCGGGTAGAATTAACATATATACCATCATCTATAACTAATCTCGACCATCTCAGTGAATGTTCAGGACACTACTAATAGCTGTTCCGCCGCTCATCATCTTTGAATGATAAAAGTATCACATAGTTACTATTGAATCCAAAGTCCTTCCATGAAAATTAGGAGTCATCCAACAGGGTTCAGTGCCTTCTTTGACCGATACTACATCCCAATTAATAGAACTTTTCCAGGCTAAGAAATAGTGACCATTAGGACCTAGAAGAATTAGCCCTATTTCCTAGTTTAATAGTGAAACATGTTACTTTTTATACTAGTTTCGCCGTTCAGTAAAATGGGATAAGCAGTATAATAGCAAGGTTCGCCGAAGTATGGAATTTCCATAACCATAGGATATCCACTTAGAGGTGCTGATTGAGAGTTTTCATAGGCTGTCTTTATGTGGTCTACTGTTATAGCAACACCATCACATTTAAAAACAATAGAGGCACATGCCAACTTTGATATACCCAAGAGTGCTACGACCCACTCAAGTTTCTGGATCTTCATTTTGGTAGGATGCGGAACCTATTTTGCCAGATGACAAGGTGCTTTTCCGATCAGTCTATTGTGTAATGTCTCCAGCTGTGAAATGTTTGAAAGGTTACGGGGAAAGAAGAGACTATGTAGGCGATGTCTATCTCGACTCGAGGGTGGCTCTAGATGCTGATAGAAGTAAGCAAGTTGTATTTGACGGTGCAGGCAAAACTTAATAGCTGGTGTCATCCAAAATTCGGAACAATGGACAATACTATATACGAGCCTAGGCCCTGTCGATATCCTATCATTATCAATGGCAGGCATATTTGGGCATATGAAGTGATAAATTAAAGTATCAAAGATAGCATTTTACTATTAATTATTTAATTTCATTCACCATTCGGATTCGGCGCTCCATGGGCCAGTGCAGGTGTCTGAACATTAACATTTACATGGGAGGAAGCCTCTCGGTGTGGGTCCTCCCGCCTGTTTATTTATTGCCTTAATATTACCCCTAGGCCCTTCAGCAAGCACAGTCATATTCTAGTACTACTGACACAAAGCAATCACACATTCTCTATTGATCTCGAATTTGGCCGTCTCTATCATCTGTAATGGCTCGACCCATCCATAGTTTAAGATCCACTATATCACTCGTTGGTAGTCATAATTATGTGACGAAATCAAAGCCTGCAACTCAATATGGCATAGATAGTGGGTCGTGGAAGCTTTGGAAGTGGTCGAAATGAAGGACTTAAGATTGGGAGGGTAACACCTAGAAGGGCAACAGAGGCAGTCCATCCTTCAAATTCCATCTCACTTTCCAAGACGCTGAGCAGCGGCTGGGCTTAATTTTTATTTTGCTGGGCTCTTTTCCGGCGCTGGCTCATCGGGATATTTACAGGCTGAGCCAACTGGCACTTGGCCTCGACAAGTGTTATGCGCCGGCACGACATTAATCAACAAATAAACCCCCAATCATCGTCATGCAAAGTTTCATCTCATCCACACACATCAGTACATTTATCTCATCATCTTAACTTGACAAATAAAGCAGCAGTATGGCTGCGCAAAATCAGGCGTCAACTGACTCGGGCGACCAATTACACCCCATCCTCCTTGGAATTGCTGTCGCAATTTTTTAATTTTTGCGTCAGATTTTAATTGCGTATGTAGCTATCTAGCTATGACACAATATCAGAGAAATGTATGATAGATGACTCAATTTGTAAGAGTACTTATGCTTCGGATTTCATTTGCACGTACCACTGCGAAGTTATGGTGGCTTTTTCTTCACCCCAACTCAACCCTCATCCGTGAATACCCACCCGGGGGAACGTCTCAAAAACCCTGAGTTACTCAGACATGCCTCCGTCATCCATCATATTTTCTCCGCGCGAAATGTAATCTGAGATGTCTTCTTCCCAAGTGGAGTAGGTGCCCAGGCTACTCAAACCATACCAGAGAACACCACCAGAAGGCAGATCACAACACCTTCCATCGTTGGCTTGTGTTTATAGTGTCAGCTGCACTCTCGCAAGCGAATTTTTGGCATGCACAAAGCTCAATTTGTAAAAACTCCTTTCAAAAATTCAAAATTCCACGCCCGTCGAGATTATATCCCTCTTCTGCATCATCTTGTCAACTTGTCCAGATCCCTCTCACATCCATCCCAAAGAACTGTCTCCCAGATTTGTGCGCCACGCTTTCCTTCCTCCGTCGGGTATAAATATCGGCGTGGGCGTGTATTTGGTGACCAGCTGAGGCCAGAGAAAGTCGACGGGAGGTGTGGTCATTATGATGAGGATGTACTTGGTCGTACTTGTAGGCTTGATGAGGCTTAGGCAGGAGTCAGACTCGTTGGGAGTGAAAGATTGACATGGTGGAGTAATTCGAATTTTTGCCTCGTGGGCCAACTTCTTTGATATTGCGAAATTTGACTGAACTTGGCTCTGGGAGAATATTTCACCCCCAGGTTCGTAGAGAACACCGCGTACAGGTGTTCAATCTTGCCCTCCTTGCTGTCGCAATGGAGCAATCAGAAGGCGAAAGCTGGTTGTGATCAATTGCAGACCAGGATTGTCTACAAAATATTGAGGCCTGGGCGAAATCCAAGGCACGGGCCATATTGTGGTCTTAGTCACGCCTCCCAAGGAAAATATTTCACCTACAGTCAAACCCCTGATAAGACGATCCTCGTCAAGACGATATTTTTTCCAGAACATACTTCGTTCCGATACATTTACCGATTACACGATTATCGTTCTTCAACCTCTGAATATCGTCCTAAACAGGGTTTTTTTTGATAGATTGGTGCTAAAAATGCTGCCATAAAAGGGAATTTCTGTGGAGCAACGATACTCTCTCTATGACGATATTTTTCACGGCCCCGATTACATCGTCTTAACAGGGGTTTGACTGTATTGTGAAGGCATTTGCAATGGGCAATTCCAATGCCACAATCCATACAGCCAGGAAACCTGCACTTGAAACCATTCAGATGATAACCTCTATGCCAAGGGCGATAATAATAGTCGAAAGACCATATTATGAACTACCAGAAGGACCACAGGAAACTGCGTGTGCGTGGGTCACAGCAGCTCAGCAAGCAGCTAAGGTCCCGGATCCACCTGCCATTTCAACCCCATAAAATTCTACTTAAAACACAGAGCCTTAAGAATCCCAAAACTCAGGTTTCAGGCTCCGAAATCATGGAACGTCCGCGCAACTAGTACCACGCCGATTGATATAGTCCTAGCATAAATCAACGACCCTAGTAGCAAGCATGAGAGTGATACAGCAGAGACACACACATGGGAACGAACGTAGAGGTATCCAATGGCAAAGATGGTGTGACAGAAACCGATTTGGTAATAAATAAATCAATTTATTAAACTATATGAAGAGAAAAGAAATCTCTAGCTACTACTAATAGGTACTTATAACGTTTGGTCCGCTTCGTGAATCTGCTGACTGATAACTTACCCCTAGGTCTAATACTTGCTACCGAGCCAAGTATTATCAGGAGCCATTACGCTATGATGTTGCTTCGACCTCCTGGCTAGTAGTGCCATTCCATCTATATTTGTCCATCCTTCCTCTTTAAGACTTATCATGATTATTCCTAATTAAACGCTTAGGTTTCTTCTTAAGCTTAAACAACAGTCAAACCGTAACAGATGGCGCAAACATAACCCGAAGATCGAGCGTGGCTTATATAAAAGGGAGTGGACAGGATTGACTAATTTGTACAAATAGAGCACGAGTCGGTAGTTTAGAAGGGGAGGAAAAACGACCATCCTACCGAGCTTTCTATTGTGCATCTAGCATGGCCAATAGTGAAGCACAGGACGGTCATAAACCATTCATCTTATCCATCTACTGTTTTCTTAAACGCAAACTATCATCCTGGAGCCCTACGACATTTTTGCTAGCTAAGAACTTCAAAAAGTCAAACGTCACAATAAAGAAGGTGATAACTGAGAGAGCCGGAGTTGCGGCATCGCCCATTATTGCAATGAACCAGGCTCGATCAGGTCTAGCACTAGAATATGTATTAGAGGAGCTTCAAGAAAAAATGCTGGGAATTGCGGATTCATTACAGCAAGAAAGCTTCTGCATCAAAACCACATCAGACTGGACCTCAGTCATAGTGTGACGGGCTTTGCCCGGATTGGGACTGGTCACTACAACTACTCCGTCTTCGAGTTTAGGCTGTAGTAGAGCAACGCTCCTGGAAATGTGAATGAGGCGTTAAGGATGAATCAAGAGGGTACATACCAGATGGGGAGAATGGCACAGAAGAAGGGATGAGCAGGGTAAAAAGGATGATTCTCAGGTCGCCAAGAGAGGGAGTTAATACTGGTCTAAGTAGAGGACTTTAAGGACAGGATACAATGCTGTAGATTAGCTTCCCAAAGAAAAATGAATCATTCCCATTGAGTCTTTGACTTCTTTAAACCTAATAAAAATAGTGTCACATGTACCATTACATATAAGGATACCAGAAGGCAGCATTTCAGTTGCAAATGCTAGGCTGTATCCTAGCAGCTAGCAGCTAGATCTGTATATGGAGATTTTGCCAACTATCATGAGCGCTTCAACCACGAGAATGCACCAAAATACTGCTGATGTGGCTGCAGAAAGGACCCACTACACTTTTTCTTCTGCTACATAGGGAAAAGAAGATCACGTCTTATGCAAGGTCCACCTTCAAAGATGATCCTGTTCCTTCTTGGCACACATGAAGGGGGGCGAAAATTCGGAGAATGGCTACAGGAAACTCGATTCTTCACAGAGATGTGCCCATAAAACACCTTGAAGATTCAATGGATGCCTAGAGCGATCTAGATAAAGAAGAAAGACAAGTAACTCAATGGAGCAACAAAATTTATTTTTTTGGCAGTGGATGTCAACGGGGAATGTGGACTGACCTACGCAGGGGATGGTGCCAAGTGTGACAGCTTGTGAGATGATAATTCCTGTAGCCTTAGATAGCCATCAAAGGCAACCTATATTCTATATCACTCCGAGGATTATCAGCAATCAAAACTGACACGAGATTGCCACTGAGGCTACGCAAAGGATAGTGCCAAGAGTATCCGAAGCATTACCCGTGTAGTAGAACAAACCTTAAGTCAGTTTCATTGCCACTGTAAGCGTAGGCTAGATTTAGATACCTCGGGATGTGTATAAGTAGTAGTGTAGACTTGCAGGTAGTTTGATTTTATGTAAGGATTCCTCTTCCGATCCTTTCTTTAGGATATAATTTTACCTTTCTCCATATGTTGCTATGACAACAGGACAGTTCTTGGCACATGGTATCATGTTGATATTATGTTAAGGTCTATGTTATGATGAGCTAGTGTAAGGAAGGCAGGTATATATACAATTGTTTGGTCTGTAGGTATAGAGTTCTTTACGCTTAGTCTTCTGTCACAACCACCAGCTTCGGATCACCTCTGGTCACCTATAGTCACCTCTAGTTACCTCTAGTACCTTTAGTTATCATTAGTACCCTCTCGAACCTT